TACCGTACGAGCTACGACTACAAGAAACCACTAAAACGGAAGAGAACGAGAAGACGACCAAACCACCGCCAGAATTACGATAATAAGCAGGATAACTTGCCATTGCGGAGAATGTTGAACGTTTACTTATCTGTACAGCACAGTTTGCCGTGTTCACGAAACTAATAGCAACTGACGGTTTAACGTATGTTCATTATTGTATATGGGCGCATTTACAAGTATAATATTAAAGTGAAAGATTTTCCATCTGAATTTGTCAGTGAAACGTCTCTGATCCAGGAAGCCGCTTGTTTCAGTTCCGCATCCAATTATAATCAGTACAGCACATGCCATATAACAGGGCCTTTGAGACAGCTGGGAATAATTATGAGCGGCATGCAGAAATGCACTGATCGCATTTTTTCAGTGTTTGCAAAAATGTGCATTGGATTATATTACTTACCACGATCAATAGAGTTAAGGGTCCGCTCTCCGAAGGCAGTCGTTCGCGTTTCAATTTCTTGGTGCTTGGTATAATTTATCACCATGTCAGGACTGTGACCTTCGCTGACTTCCTGGGGAAACACTTCTAAATATTTCCATGAGTCGTGAAGATTGTTTCGTGCATCGACATAATTGGTAATGATAAAATGACTAACTGAAAAAAAGGAATAAATATCGGAACCGGCCGTTGCCTGGGTCAAACGTTGATGATCGACTCCAACCACCCGTTTCAAAGGAAATTCATAAAATCCGTTTCGGCAAATTCATGAATTTTTAGCCCAATTAAGGCCATTCCTATTGTGTCAAAGGCATGTCAGCGGTCAGTTCTTCCAAATTTCTCAGGCACTCGAGAAAGGCAATGACTGCTGATTTTAGAGAGTCTGTTTATGTTCTGTTCAAATTACGTTTAAATATTTTTGCATTACGACCACAATATTGCATGTCATCATGTGCACTCTGTGCAATTTCTTTCTTGCACTTGCGACGAGACTATTTTTACTGATGCTGCCGTTACTCAAGCAATAAAGCTTGATGGACTGGATTCATTTAAGATCGGCCAGATCGGTGCAAATAATGCATTTAACGTTGTTTTTCAGGCAATTTCTGTATGGAAGCAGCGATTTAAAGCAGTTTTAATGAGGAAACATAAAGGTAGCATTTAGCTTCGAACTAATCCGTGTTGAATATATTCAGGTTGCATAGTTGATCGGCAAACCGATGCTGGGTAACTAGATAAATCTTCTTTCCACAATAAAAGCATGATTGCTGGCCATGACTGACGAACAGAAGGTCAGTCGGTCAGTCAGTCAGTCGGTCAGTCAGTCAGTCAGTCAATCAGTCAGTAGGAACAGTTAAAAAGTGAATTCATATTAGGCCGATATGAGTCTGGTCAAAAATAACTAATAGCTGTCCTTCTTCCTTTTGACCTATCAGACATTCGACAGCAAATGTAATGACTAGCTTTGGATTAACACTATTGATACACCTGCAAGGAACGTGCACAGATCGTGTGGAACATTGACAAAAGCGCTGGCACAGTGGGTGCATTGGGTTTGTTAGAACAGCGGTCATGAAAGGCTTTACGGATTATACGATGAAATGCAGCGAAAAATGCCATCATTTACACAGTAGCACAAGGGTGTTTTAAATTTAGAAATTTTATTTCATATTAGTCATGGATTTATAGCAACGAGTAGATGCAATTAGTCGAAAAGCCTTCATATTTTCCGACTGCAGCAGAACATTATATCGTTCAATCATTTGCACGATTATCTGTATTGCTGCTTCGGCTATCCTTTGGTTGCGTATTTCTTCTGTTCTTCTGGCAAAGGCATTTGGCGGCTGCCGTCGTTGTCGTGTTCCACCGCAGGTTTCACTTCATTCAGTCCATTCTCAGCACTCCGACTGACACCAGGTGACTTTCCGCATAAATATCGACGTATCCACCAGAAAAATCTGGTAAATGATATTTCTGTGATTCCTTTACATTTGGCTAAAATTGCTTTTGTGTGACAATACGAAATTTTGAGACATTTTCATACCTGGCGATTTAATCTTTTTCTTTTTTTCAAGATTTGGCTCCCGACTTTGGTTCTGAGGCTTCTTCCCTTTGTTTGCTGCAGTTTTACCTCGAGCTTTTTTACTAAGTATGCGCCGCAGAAGCATGATTCTCCTTCGCAATAGGGCGCATCGCGATCGAGGTGCTTCCTTCACAACGTAGCCCTTTTCTTCCCACTTTTTCTTCATCACCGTAAATGCACTACTGTGACCACGTGCAACAGCGCCAGGATAAATTTGGCTCTTGTGTATTTGCAAATCTTTCGTAGAATCTGCAGCTGGTTGTGGCTTCTTCGTAGTGTCCTTGTCAAGCACCTGAAACCGTGGCAAGGGATGGATTTTCAAACGTTCATTAGTGATGAAAAGTTTGACAAACGGTGTCAATGTGAACAAACAAGCAGTTCGTGGAGATTCGTTCTCCCGGGGGAAACGCAATGTCAGAAAATGAAATTGCCTTTATCAGGTCTTGAGACCGTTCACCTAAACTGTACTGCGATTCCTCTCTGTTGCGCAGCATGTCAGGCGTCGATGCAGACACGAATACACTGAGTACGTTGTGGCTTGCAACTAAAAAAAGCTATTTCTCGCAGGATCTATTCCTGCGATGCCTAAGTGAATATAAGGCACCATACAGTATGTCTAAAAGGACTTCCACCAGTCTAAGCTGTAGTACAGCTATGGAAGTCTAATCGCTATTTCATAGGCGTACAGAGGAATATATCGATCAGTTGCCTCCTTGGATGACAGCTAAGTTTCTTTATTTCTTTATTTCAAAATACGTTCATACGCTGGGGTATGTCAAATAAAGCATAACTCCAATACACGACTTCATGACGCATTGCATTTCATGACAGTTGCTCCTGGTTTCCTAGAGATATTTAATCAGGCCACGGATCAATAGTATATCAGCATTTGCAATGCTAGATGCATCTCGCGTCATCAGGTTCGCTAGAGTCACCTACCGATCATTGCGAAAGAGGTTTTAAGAGCTGCAACTCCTTGAATGCTACCGCATGAGTATCAAAATATGTTCACATGCCGGAGTATGGTAAATAACGCATAACTCCCCCAAGATGAAGGCTTGCTTAAATGACTCCACCTAACAACTAAGAGCAAGGCGAATGTGCAATACGCCGTAAAATCTGGTCTATGAGGAGTTATGCATTAGTTATCACTTCTTGATTCATCGTTCAAGGCAGAAAGTCACAAGAACGATCCAAATTCTTTTGTCATTGAACGGTCTCGACAACCCTCATCATCATGGAATGCATAATTTAATGATTGTTAACTGATATATCATTGTCGCTAATCACACACAAAAAAATTCACAACAATTTGAAACATCCACAATACCCATTGTTCAGCATCCACAATACCCCTCTTTGGCTGCCTTTAACTTTAGTCACATATAATGAACTGCATGATCAAAAACGACGAACAACGGTGCAGTTATAATAACAATATCACAGCATAGGTGCAATTAGAATTGCTCCTACCTTCGCCTTCGCCTTCGGTTCCTCTATTTTCTGCCCGCGACTGCCCATTTTCTCATTTGCTGATGCTTTGGCGTTGAACTTCTCGCTGCTGGTTGGCGTTAAGCGTTCTTTTAGAACAGAAATCGTGTTTAGGGGAAAACAGTAGCACAATCCAAAAAGTCAGGGTTGGGAAGAGTGCAACAGATCCACGACTACTGCAGATGAGGAAGTGAATGTGATATCCACGCGAGTTCCACACTTAAAAGAGTTCCGGATTAAACTGCACACAATCGATTGCCTAAAGTTTAAACCATGATAACTGCGATTGAATAACGTTAGACCTGAACAAGTTTAAAACTTACGCTGCTCGCGCTTCTTCTCTTAGCTGCATGCTAATGAATCTTAACTTCAGCGAATGAACGTAATAATAGTTCTTGAAAGCGCTTTCACACTTATCACAGATAAAGAGTCAAATTTTCCATACACAAGGTATGCACAGCTAATGTGCTACCCTTACGGTTCTATTACGACAGAAGTTAGCAGAACGTTACTCTCATTCCGAACGCTCAGTTCGATTCTGTGTCCTCTTCCTCACTAAAAGTGATCATTCAATGGCTGTAAATACAAATTATAGGCCCATGTTAAAATCTTTATTCGAACTCCTGACGTTTGATCTAAACGACATTGGCCATCCTCGGGACATAACAAATTTTGCAACAACAGCGGAATGTTTTGCCCTGAGAAACTCTAGTTTTG